AAGTTGTTTACATAAGAGTTTAGACACAAGTTAAGCTCAAGTTAACGGCAGAAAATTGTTCAACCTTTATCTGTTTACTGAAATTCATTTTATTCCTTTAGTTTACAACTCTAGTACATTTATAGGCTTAAAAGTACACAGTCAGTATGTCACAAAGGGGTGATATTGAAAATATATGTACTTCACAAGAGAAAGCTGATATTAATGAGCAAGTAGAAGCAACTACAAAGGAAATGCAAGCTCAGGTTGAGTCACATAAGCAAGCTACTAGTGAGACGGTCCCATCAACTGCACTAGACTCACTGTCTCAAACTAAAGATCTCCCACATTCTGCATGCATTAGGAAAAATGAACGCATACGAACGCTCACTGAAAAAGGACAAGCTTTAGCAGATGATCGACTGAAGGATCTGAAGGCACAGTTCAACAGAGCTTATGAGCGGTGGAAGCACAAAATAAATGGACTGAAAAAGGCCATAAAGTACAATGATAATTCTGAGCTAACGGAGATCGTGAGTAAAATAAATACAACCCAAGTTGAGATAGATAATATTTATCTTAAAATAAGAGATACTGTACATCCAGATCATCCAAATTCAGAAATCCGCAGAATCAACGATACCTGCCAATCGCTCACCAAGGTTGCAAATAAAAGGCACAGAAGTTTCTCATCAATGATGGTACAGAAGTATCATCCTGGCCCGATGTGGAGTCTGTGTTTGAAGCTACAACATCTAATGTCTCTTTATCTTCAGGAAAGACCAGACATTCAAAGGAGTATTCGTACAGGTCACAAGATGCTAGACAAGCTGCAGCAGAAGCAGCTGCCACAGAGGAAGTCCTAAAAATAATGAAAGCTCAACATGACTGTGAAGAAGAAATCTGGAGACTTGAGCAGGCAGATCAAGTGTTGGCAGCTGAAAAAGAAGCAGAGAAAATTAGGCAGAAAGCTGAATATGAGGCTGAGAATGCAAGGAAAAGAGCTCAGTTTATTGCAGAAAGTGCAGCTAGAAAGATGAAGGTTGAGGAGAAGAAGAAAGAAGTTGAATGATTAGAGGAACTTAAAAGGCTTAACGCAGCAAAGGCAAGGCTGAAAGTGTATTCTGAAATTGTTCATAGTGACGATGAAGAAGATCATCTGTTGCCACCTCCTCTACCACAAAATCCAGCACTTTCTCAACCTCTTAGCTCACAAGAAAGGCATCCTCAAATCCTTCCAGCAAACCAATCCGTAGCTCAACAACCATACCAGGTTACAGTCACTAAAAGCTTTACTCCTCATTCACCAATCTATACCTCAGTATCTGTGCCACAAGCATCTTCATTTAATAAACCAACTGTGAACTATCAGCCCAATCCCATTCAAACAGTTACATCAAACAACCCAAATGACACAACCAATGAATTGGTTAAAACATTAGCGGAAGCTATCACTGCAAATCGAATCCCAATTCCTGAACCTGCTGTTTTCACTGGAGACCCCCTGAAGTACACTGATTGGAAACTTTCTTTTTCCACTTTAATTAATCAGAAAAACCTTCCAAACCAAGAAAAACTGTTCTTCTTACGCAAGTATGTTGGCGGTGCAGCAAAAAGAGCTATAGAAGGTCATTTTCTGGTTGGTTCAGAAACAGCTTATAATGCTGCCTGGAACGTGCTCGAAGACAGGTTTGGCAATCCTTTCCTGATTGGCAAGGCATATCGTGATAAAATACATTCATGGCGCAAAATTGGCCCAAAGGAAACTGTGGAACTCCGTGAGTTTGCAGATTTTCTGAGCAGCGTGGAATCAGCCATGCCATATGTACAAGGATTACAAGTTCTGAATGACTGTATGGAAAATCAAAAAATTGCACAAAAACTACCAGGCTGGTTGAGCTCACGGTGGAACAGAAGCAAGAAAATAATCCAAAACAAACTCATACAACTGAAAATGACAAGGATGGGTCTGAACAAGATCAACCGAGGGTAAACAACCAAGACAAAGACAAAAGTTTTAAACCAAAGCAAACACTTGAGTCAGATGGAGCTACTTCTCTAAGGATTATTCAAGAAAGGGGCGGAACTCTCACTTCACCAATTGTTCCAGTCTATGTGTCCTCATTGACTCAACCAGACAAGGAAATACTAGTGTATGCTCTGCTCGATTCTCAGAGCGACACTACGTTCATCTTGAAGGATGTAGCCGACACACTGGATGCCAAGAAAGATCCAGTAAAGCTCAAGGTGTCAACAATAACATCAAGAACAAAGGTTGTATCCAGTGAAAGGTTGACTGGTCTTGAAGTGAGAGGCTTGAAATCTGAAGTTAAGATCAAGCTTCCAGTAAGCTACACCAGGGAGTATATACCGGCTAACAGAGCTCATATTCCCACAAGTGAGACCGCAATGTCCTGGCCTCACTTAGAACATCTTGCAGAGGAGATGTCGCAAGAATTAGATTGTGAGGTAGGTTTGCTAATCGGTTATAACTGTTCTCAGGCTCTGGCTCCAAGAGAAGTCATCCATGGAAGTGAAAATCAGCCCTTTGCACTCAAGTCTGTGCTGGGTTGGAGCATTGTCGGGTATAACAGTACCGTCAATGATTATGAAGATGAAATAGGTGTAAGTCACCATATCATTGCTAAGCAAGTCATACCACTTACAATGCCTTCCTCTGAACTCAAGTCAGAAGTCCATTTTTCTGCTAGAACCCAAGTTAAAGAAGTTATCTCCCCATCAGACATGATAAAGGTTTTTGAGTCAGACTTCTCTGAAAGAAAGGGTGGAGAAGCTCCAATATCACAAGAAGACTTGCGGTTCCTTGCAATACTGAAAGAAAATATAAAGCAGAAGCAGGACGGACACTACCAGATGCCATTGCCTTTTAAGGTAGAGAGGCCAAGTCTACCTAACAACAGAGCATGTGCTGAACATAGACTAAAATGCCTAAGAAAACGACTACAAAGAGATGAGAAGTATTGCAAAGATTATGTAGCCTTCATGAAGGACATGATAGAAAGAGGGGATGCCGAAAGAGTTCCAAAGACAGAAATAGACAGTCAAACAGTATAGCATATTCCCCACCATGGGGTTTATCACCCTAAAAAGCCCGGAAAAATTAGGGTCGTGTTTGATTGTTCTGCCCAATTTCAGAACACATCACTCAACAAACATCTGTTGACTGGACCAGACCTTACAAATAATCTCACTGGGGTCCTGTGTCGTTTCAGAAAGGGACAGATAGCCATTATGTGTGACGTGGAACGTATGTTTCATCAGTTTCATGTGGACCCACAAGACCAAGACTACCTCAGATTTCTATGGTGGGAGGGTGGCAAAATGGACGATCCACCATTAGTGTATCGTATGAAGGTCCACTTGTTCGGTGCTGCATCTTCACCAGGATGCGCCAACTTCGGGCTTAAACACCTGGCGACTCAAGGAGATGAACAGTTCAGTGAGCAAACAGTGAAGTTTATCCAACGCAACTTTTACGTTGATGATGGATTAACAAGTGTAGACAGCGAAGCTGAAGCTATTCAGCTTGTCCAAGAAGCAAGGGAGCTTTGCAGCACTGGAATGCTTCACTTGCACAAGCTCATCAGCAATAAGAAAGTAGTGCTAGACACATTACCAAAAGAAGAGTGTGCAGATGGAGCAACCAACCTTGACATGTCTTTTGGAGAACCAAAAATGGAAAGAGCTCTTGGTGTCCAATGGAGCATCAGTTCTGACAAGTTCCAGTTTCGAGTTGAAATTAAAGAAAATCCCTTCACCAAAAGAGGAGTACTGTCCACAGTAGCTTCAATCTTTGATCCCCTTGGATTTTTGGCACCTTTCATCCTAACCGGAAAGATAATCCTACAGAAAATGTGCCAGGACAAGGTGGGTTGGGACGAGCCACTTCCTGATAACCTAAAACCACACTGGGATGCTTGGCTTCAAGATCTTTACAATCTGTCTTTGGTTGAAATACCACGGTGCTACACACCATTCACAGCCAAGGAGGTTCAGAAGTATGAACTTCACAATTTTTCTGATGCAAGTTCATCTGGCTACGGAGAATGTTCTTACCTTAGAACTATTTCCAAGTCCGGAGAAGTTCACTGTGCTTTTGTTATGGGAAAGTCCAGAGTTGCACCAACAAGAGTGACAACAATCCCAAGATTGGAGCTCTCGGCTGCGGTTGTAGCCGCGCAGACGAGTGAACTGCTCAAATGAGAAATGGAGCTAGAAGACTTGCAACAGTTCTTTTGGACTGACTCAAAGGTCGTCATTGGATACCTCAATAATGATGCAAGGAGGTTCCATGTATTTGTAGCCAACAGAATTCAACTAATTAAATCAAGTACGGAACCAGGACAGTGGAGATATGTTGCCTCTACAGAGAACCCAGCAGACCATGCGTCTCGCGGCCTAACCGCAAATAAGCTTGTAGAGTCTAACTGGTTCACTGGGCCCCAATTTCCTTGGCAGAGGGATCTCCCTAAACAGGAAGAGACTCAGGTTGAAGAAATAAACAATGATGATCCAGAACTCAAGAGAGCACAGGTTCTCACAACCACCGTGAAGGAAGAAAAATCACTACTGGAGCGTCTTGAGAAGTTCTCAGACTGGAGGAGAGTAACGAAAGCCATAGCTAGGCTTAAGCGTCTTGCAAAGGAACTAAAGGGTTTAAGGGCAAGATCAAATGAACTCACCACACTTGAAGAAAGACAAGAAGCTGAACAATTTGTAATCAAGTTGGTTCAAAATGAAGCATTCAGCAAGGAGATCAACGCACTAAGCCAAGAGGAAGAAGTCAAAGGGAACAAATCAACTCGCCTCCAAAGGCTAAGCCCATTCTTGGACAGACTGGGTATCTTGAGGGTGGGAGGATGATTGACCCAAGCCGCACTTCATCCACATGTCAGACACCCAGCCATTCTTCCTAAAGGACATCATGTCTCTCGTCTCATACTCAAGCACTGTCATGAGAAGGTGTGTCATCAAGGTCGTGGAATGGCTTCTGGATCCTTGGGTGTAATGGTGAAGTCTCTTCCTTTATCTTTAAGTGCGTAAAGTGCAGGAAGTTCAGAAGGTCTAACCAAGAACAAAAAATGGCTGATCTTCCCCCTGAGAGAATGGAAAGTACACCTCCGTTCACGTACAGTGGAATGGACTGTTTTGGTCCATTCTACGTCAGAGAAGGAAGGAAAGAGCTAAAGAAATATGGGCTCATATTTACATGTATGTGCTCAAGAGCCATCCACTTAGAAGTATTGGATGACCTTTCGTCTGATGCCTTCCTGAATGCATTGCGATGTTTCATTGCAATAAGAGGCAATGTGAGACAACTTCAAAGTGATCAAGGTACCAATTTTGTAGGTGCGAAAAATGAGTTCCAAAACATGATGAAAGGACTACCAGAGGAACGTGTGAAAGAACTTGGATGCAGCTTTGTGATGAATCCTCCTGCTTCCAGTCACATGGGCGGCGTCTGGGAGAGGCAGATCCGCACTGTAAGGAGTATCCTAACCTCTATCCTCGACCAATCTGCAAGTCGACTTGACAGCTCATCACTGAGGACATACTTATATGAGGTGATGGCTATAGTGAATAGTCGACCTTTGACCACTGTCCATCTCAATGATCCATCAGGCCCGGAACCTCTGACCCCCAATCATATCCTCACAATGAAATCTTCAGTCATCATGCCCCCGCCTGGTGAGTTTGTGAAGGAAGATTTATATCTTCAGAAAAGATGGAGGAGGGTTCAATTTCTATCAAATGAGTTCTGGACCAGGTGGAAAAGGGAGTATTTGCTCAATTTACAACAAAGAAGAAAATGGACTACTGAGAGACGGAATGCTAAAGTAAATGACATTGTCTTGCTGTTGGACGACAACCTGCCAAGAAACCAGTGGAAGTTGGCAAGGATAGTGGAAGTCTTCCCAGCTGCAGACAACAGGGTTAGAAAGGTCAAGCTGTTAGTTAGTAACACATTTTTGGACAACAGAGGCAAGCGCACATCCCAGCCACTTTATTTAGAGAGAGCCATACATAAAACAGTGCTATTACTTGAAGCAGAGTAAAGGGTTATCTTAAGAAGGTGCCTTTGTTTACTGTTGGTAGTTTTTTTTGTTGTTTAACAAGTTATTGTATATAGTTTAAATGAATCACTTTGTGTGATTGGTGGGAGTGTGAATGCTGTGAAAACATCATTGTAAAATGCTTCTTTTTATTTTTGATGAAACTGGAGCTCGTGCTCTTATTTTGAAAGGCACACTTGCCTTTCTCAACAACTTCCGGTTAGCTTAACGTGTGCACTCGTTTTTTTTCTAACGTATGAAAGGAAGCTGATATATGCTGAATACGTTCAGATTAATATAAGAGACTAACAGCAAGCAAAACTTGTTTTCTCCCCTCCCATTCGGAGCTACAAGCAGGCAAAGTGGTTAGTAGAGTTTGTAACCTTTATTTGTGATTTATGTGTTATATTTATGTAAACATATTGTTTATTCTGTCGGTTTGTAGTTCTACGGTGGTTTATGGTGCTGCATGATGCTAGCTTTGCTAGTCAATAACGGCACAAATAAAGAACGCCATCTGTAAAAAGAACTGGAGTCCTCACATGCTTCGATGGGCGGCATACCGTGGTACTTTCGTCCTGAGTTCGGGAAGGCGAGAGCTTGAATGGGAATCTGCCTTCAAGGCTAAAAAGCCGGCCGGTGAAACAATTTTAGTTCCCCGGGCTTTGGTGAGGTAAGTGGCGCCTGTACGGCTCCCCGAAGCCAGCTTCCCATCGACGGCTCTGCCTTGCCCGCATTCTCCACCACTTGTTAGGTAATTTGATTTTATCCCATATTACCTTAAAGGACGACACACCCTTTGATAGAGAGAGAGTAAATTGATTATTTGTAATGTCCATGTGTGTGTCTCAACCAGCCTCCACTCTGCTTCAGCCTTCAAAGCTTTCTCCTCACCTGCTCTGTATACCTGCATTCTGCAATTATCTGGTAGATAATACTTAACCTCCATAACCCTGGAACCTGAAATAAACACACATGACAACCAGGAAGACATTTTACACTGAATTAGCCAAATGGGGGGAGATCACCATGACACATAACTCTCTCCAGAGCTATCTGCCAGGCGACTCCCCCTCCTCAAGAGTCTTCAGTGGTTTTATTCACCAAATGGATGGGGGGAGAAGGCGGGGCCTTCTCAAGTTACAGAGTTACAGAGTTCTCTCAATTAACATCTTTGCTCAACCTTTTTATGAACATACCAACACAGAGATTCATGATGTGTAATGGGCATCTTTTAGGTCTCAAAAAGGTACATTTATAAAAATACCCAACAGTTTATATAGTTAAAATGTAAAATAGTAAAATGATTAAAAGTAAAATGCAAATACCAAATCCTGAAAGACTGAAGTCTTTTGATGGATCACCTGGAAAGCTGCAAGAAAAATTTGGTTAGTTTTAAAATCCCTTCTTTCCCTTTCGTATCTAGAACTCTGGTGAGTTTTATTTTTATGTGAGATCGGAGAAAGCTCCTATTACAGGAGAACCTGAGTTAGTAGGTCAGTGACCACAGACTTGGATTCCATAGGTACCAGTATGGACCTAGTTTCCTCTACTGTATTGGGTCCTGGACTCATGTGTTGGTGCATTCCACACCCGTTGGTATTATTTCCTATAACTAGAGATGGTGTTCCAAGATGAAACCAAAAGATTATTCAATCTCTCTGATTAAGCAAACCCTTTCTGCGGACTCTCTCTAGACGAGAGCCCACAATTTGTCCCCAGTCATGGGTTTATACCTTAATGTCGTCAGCTCCAGGTCATCATAAAAAGCTCCAATCACAATACATGTTACACATTACTTATTTCTTGATCACACCTGTTCCTGCTTCAAATCTTATAAGCACATCCTGTCCGTTAACATGACCTTTAACACATTCCAAAAAAAAACCATTGTTTGTCATACAGGATAGTCCATGAGTTGTACAAAGGTTAAACACTCATAAATGCATTAATTATCACCACCTCTATTTGAGGTTTCAGTTCCTCTTTTTACTCTGCAACCGTGCATGACTCATTTCCATTATTATTATTGTGACTTCATTCTTTCACACCTAGTTCCAGCATTTTGAGCTGAGGGTACTTGATGACGTCGTCGCTTTCTGCTCCTTGTTTATTGGCCCGAGCAGTGTCCAAGATGAGGTGATGTTTGACAATTCCGAAGGTGGAAAAAGGAAATCCTACAAACCTGTTTAACGTGGGATTTGAATGACATGTCCTGGTCAAAGATAACACCAAGGTTCCTTACTTTGTTCTCGGAGATTAATGTAATGCCGTTCAGGTCAGGTGATTGACTAAGAAATGTCCTATTCTGAATGTCGGGTCCAAAGATGAGAACTTCAATCTTGTCTTGATTTAAAAGCAAGTTTTGAGTCATCCAATTTTTTATGTCTTCTAGACAAGTCTGTAATCTACCTAACCGATTAGTTTCATCAGGGTTAATGGATAAATATAACTGAGTATCGTCAGCATAACAGTGGAAGTTTATCCCATGCTGTCTAATGATTTTACCAATAGGAAGCATATATACATTGTAAAAGAATTGGTCCAAGCACTGAACCTTGTGGTACTCCACAAGTAACCCTGGAGTATGAAGACGATTTGTTATGTACATTTACAAAATGAAATCTATCAGACAGGTAGGATTTAAACCAGCCTAGTGCTGTTCGTTTGATCCCTACAACATGTTCAAGCCTTTCTAAAAGAACATTGTGATCAGCTGTGTCAAAAGCAGCTCTGAGATCTAACAAGACTAGAACAGACACAAGATTCTTATCTGAGGCCATGAGAATATCATTTGTAACTCTCACTAATGCAGTTTCAGTGCTGTGATACTCTAAAACCAGACTGAAATTCCTCAAACAGAGCATTAGTGTTTAAATGCTCACATACTTGGATGGCCACTATTTTCTCCAGGACTTTGGATAAAAATGGAAGGTTAGATATTGGTCTATAATTCATCGGGTCATCTGGATCCAGAGAAGGCTTCTTCAGTAAAGGTTTGATTACAGCAACTTTAAAATCCTGTTGTACGTATCCATTTACTAAGGATAGATTGATTATATTTAGAATGGGGGCAGTAACCAAAGGAAATGCATCTTTAAATAAGTTGGTTGGGATTGGATCTAAAATGCAAGTTGAAGGTTTAGATGAAGCTAATATTTATTTATCCCCCCCAACCCCCCCCCAACCCCCCACCCCCCCGTGTCGTGTCTGGCTGTGAAGCAAACAGAATTGGTGTCTGAATGCTGGTAACAAGCCTTACAGATTTACTCTCAGGTGGAGCATCAAAGCGTCTGCTTTTAATGTCACGCCTGATACTTAAAGCTTTATTGTTATTGTTTTTGAATGCTTTGTTATTCCGACCAGACAGTCAGAGGTGAAAGAGAAAGGAAGAGACAAAAGGTGGTGGTGGTGGTGGTGGTGTGGTGTGTGGGGGGGGGGGTGTTCACAAAAATAAACAATAATGAACAAGAGACTGCTTCTAGACCTGCAGAAAGAGAAAGAAGAGAAAAAAATGGGACACACAACAATACAACAAAAGCAAGCTATCACTGCATCAACTTGAAAAAATATACAATTAGCATTGTTTAACTGAGCAATCACATGATAATAAATCATAGTGCATTTAGTGGCAATGACAGCCTTAAGACATGTGTTGAACGTACCCAAGCCCATACTTTTGAGAGCACCATGTGAGCACCTGTGTGTGTACACGCGCTTGTTTATGTGAGGTTTCTCTTTAAAAGCGTCCAATAGAGAGTGTGAGGGACCACAGATCTGAAGCTAATATTTTTGATAACTCTGAGAGCTCAACTGGATCAAAACGGTTCAAACACAGATGAAGTTCTACAGTTACCTCTGATGCTGCCTCACTTACTGAGGAAGAAGTAATCACATTAGGGAGGATGCTAATGATTTTGTTTCTAATAGAATTAATTTTACTTGTGAAAAATCCCATAAAGTCATTACTGCTGAGGGCTAAGGTAATAGATGGTTCACAGCTATGATTCTGTGCAAGTTTGGCAACTGTACTGAAAAGAAATTTAGGATTATTCTTATTTTCCTATATTGGCGATGAAAAATATGCAGTTATAGCTTGTCCAAGTTTATTTTTATAAAGCATAAGACTATTTTTCCAGGATAAGTAGGACTCTTCCTGGCGTGTACAGTGCCATGTTCTCTCCAATTGTCTAGAGTTTTGTTTTAAATTTTGTAGATCAGAGTTAAAACAGGGAGCCAACTTCCTGTGCTTCATTACCTTTTTTTTTCTTTTTTCGAAAAACTACTGCGGCTGTCTGGTGCCTGTCTGCTGCTTCTGGAGACCCATATGCCAACCATGCCCTGTAGGCCTCCTTCTTCAGCCTTACCCTAACCTTTGGTGTCCTCCAGCAGGTACAGGGGTTGCCACCACAACTCAACTCAACTTTATTTATAAATCGCGCCTTACAGGCAAAAAGATGCCACCAAGGCGCTACACTGATCAAATAAAAACATTAAGTCCAGAAAATAAAACATTGTATCACACGATACAGATAAAAATACAATGAGTAAAATCGCTATAAGTAACACAATAAAACTAGTTAGAAAGGTTAAAAGACAGGTCATAAAAATATGTTTTTAGCCTGCCTTAAAAACCGCAACAGAGGTGGAGACCCTTATGCTCAGAGGAAGCTTATTCCAAAGCTTAGGACCTGCCACAGCAAAGGCCCTATCACCATGCGTCTTTAGACGTGTTCTTGGGACCGAGAGGAGCATGAGGTTCTCCGAGCGGAGTGACCGTGAAGGGGTGTATGGTTGAAGTAGTGATACCAAGTAAGGAGGGGCCCAACCATTTAACGTTTTAAAAACTAGTAAAAGTATTTTAAAATGAATCCTAACAATCCACAACCAGAACTGGCAACCTTGCGGCCACCGCCAGCCACAGCTGCCTCAACAATTGCAGAGCAGAACAAGGCCCATTCAGACTCAATCACCCCCACTGCTCTTGGGAAGCGGTCAAAGCTCTGCTGGAGGTGGGAGTTGAAGACCAACTCTTTAGCTTCTTCTGCCAGGCCTTCCCTGGAGACCCTCACTATATGTTTGGACCTGCCAGGTCTGCACAACATCTTCCTCTGCCATCTGATCAAGCTCACCACCAGGTGGTGATTAGTTGGCAGCTCTGCTTCTCTTTTCACCCAGGTGTCCAAAACATATGGTTGCAGGTCAGATGATACAACTATAAAGTCAATCATTGACCTGCGACCTTAAGGTGTTCTAACCCCGGCTTTCCACGGGAGCCGTCAGCAGCACGTTACTGCAGCAGCACGTCATAGCTGCTGATAGGAACCGCTGTGGTCAACAGAACCTTTTCCACCGGAGCCGTCAACAGCGCGAGTCGGCCGCGTCTCAGGAGCAGCATGTCGCGGCCTTTACGCGCCGGTTCTATTTTCTACGCGCGACGCCTCTGAAACGGGTCAAGTTCGACATTTTTGGGGAAGGAAAGACAGGAAATCGGACGCGGAAATGGAGAGAAGCTACCGAGATTTTCAG